AGATTGAAGTAGGTTTGCTTTTTTAATGTATTTGTTTTTAGGAAAAAGGTCTAAATCTACCTTGAAAGAGATGTACGTGGATGGCAATGTTATATGTGATTCATTTCATGCGTATTTCACCAAGTGCAGATGTTCATGGTGACTGTGCCAGGCCATGTTCAAGGAGGAGGAAAACCAGGCATACGCACCGCGAAGCCGTCATTTAAATGAGTGTAACTGCGGAGGATCCCTTTCCTCAGATCCCACTCATGGCCTGACCCCGTCTTAGACTTGGTAGAAACTAGTCAGCCCCTTTGGGCCTCACCCACACAACAGATGAGCTGGGCTCATGAGGCCTTTTATCTCTAAAGTTCTAGGATTGAGAGCAAGTATTTCTCAGAAGAGATCGCTTCTACGGAACATTGTCAGGAATGACTCTATACGGTAGCTCACTTTTGAGAGCACTCCCTGACATGTCTCTCTTTTCCCTTCCTGGCAAATGCTTCCTACTTACAAGTAACATTCATGCTTTCGCAGAGAGAAAATTTCAGTCATGCAGTAGCTGTTCCTGACTTACTGTTCGGATGATTGCCCGCTTTGGGGTTAAGAGCCAGACCATGGAAACCAAGCTGAGTTTAAACCTCAGCTCTGCCATTTCCCTCCGGGTGACGCTGGGTCCTCAGTTTCCCCAGCTAGAAAATGGGGCCAATGAAGGTGTTAGCCGTTACTTACTTTTAAAATATTATCATTTTGCAAAATTAGGCTAAGGCAGCAGTTCATGTGGAATGCTTTTCTGAAACCAAAGCACTAGGTTAGGAGCAGAACTAAGACCTTTTTCCAGGATTTGCCCCAGTGTTAATTTAGGTAATTGACACTATCAAATATCACACTTACGTGAGGTAATTTTGAATTCAATATTGTAATGCTGATTTGAAGGCATGAGGAGTTAATGGCAGTGTTAGCACTGAGCTAACACTGTGAGGGTAAATCTTTTTTTATATATTTTTTAATTGATTTCAGAGAGGAAGGGAGAGGGACAGAGAGATAGAAACCTCAACGATGAGAATCACTGATCGTCTGCCTCCTGCACGCCCCACACTAGGGATCGAGCCTGCAACCGGGGCGTGTGCCCTGACTGGGAATCAAACCGTGACCTCCTGGTTCATAGGTCACTGCTCAACCCTGAGCCACGCTGGCCAGGCGTAAGGGTAACTCTTGATACAAAGTTTTGTTTGGAACTCAAAGCAAAGATTTACAATTGAATTATTTTTTTTTGTGGTGTTTTACTCGGGTAAATTTTTGCATCTCACAACATTCTAAGGATGCAGTTTATTGAACTCTATAACACTCTCCTACTAAATACTGAACTTAATTTCATTTTACTCCTTTTAACATAAACCACAGTATTTATTTATGTATTTAATATCTTCTGGTTTTCCTTAGCGCCAAACACCAAAGACTTGGATGTTTTTCTCCGGAAACAGGAATCGGGGTTCGGCTTCCGGGTGCTGGGAGGAGACGGCCCTGACCAAGCTGTGAGTGTGAATCCTGGGGACACGGCTGCTCCTGGGACAGCTGTTAAGTGGCAGTTTGGTAGAAGAGGGTGTTTTTGTCGTTTTCTGTTTTGTTGTTTTTTTAAAGATTTTGTTTTCTCTGTCAGTTTCATTAACATGACAAGAATTGCATTTCTATTAAGTGTTGTAGTCCCTCCTTAATTTGGTGCAGCTAAAGCTGGAGCTGAAAACTGGATATGTTGGCTGTCAATTAGACAGGAATTAATTTCTCTATGTGCCTAGGGCTTATTTAAAACCCTTTCCTTCTTTTTGCCTTCATTAAAGAGATCTTAAGGCATTTTCCTTTTCTAAGAATT